CAAGGGTACTGTGTTGGCTGCTTATCTTGAACTTCAGTGTCCATCAAGACCTTTTCCTGCCTAGTTGCTTTCCCAGCATGTCCCAGTGCCTGAAATGGGCCTTCTCCAGAGGCTGAACTTGAGAATTCCTTTGGCTGAGCTTTGTGTCCAGCCATTCAGCTATTTTTTGAACCACCTCACTGCCTACATCAGCTCCATATTCCCTGCTCTCCTCTTGTCTAGCAGGTCAGTCATTTCATTGTAGAAGTTTTAACAAGTTGGTCAAGCATGAATTCCCCTGGGTGAAGCCATGCTGACTACCCTGATGATCTTGTTTTAATGATCTCTGAAAACTGCTGAAGAAGCAAAATTTTACATAAAGTTTCTCAAAAGCCTCCCAAGACAGCAACCTAAAGGAGTGATGATTTTGCCACATTCTCTAATGAAATCTTCAGCCATTTTCAAAAATGTTCATCACTGCAGGAGTGCATCTGAAAATGCACGACTCTGTTTCAGCAGTCAAACACCTGCCCTCAGTTTAAATCACAGAATGGTCGAGGTTGGAAAGGACCTTTAAAGAGGATCAAGTTCCAACCCCCTGACATGAGCAGGGACACCTCCCACCAGACCAGGCTGCACAAGCCTCATCCAACCTGGCCTTCAACATCTCCAGGGATGGGGCAGACACAGCTTCTCTGGGCAACCTGTCCCAGTGCCTCCCTACCCTCATGGTGAAGAATTTCTTCCTGATGTCTGAACTAAATCTCCCCTCTTTCAGTTTAAAACCATTCCTCCTTGTCCTATCCCTGCCTTCTGTGGTGAGAAGCCCCTCCCCATCTTTCCTGGAGCCCCTTCAGGTATTAGAAGGACACTATAAGGCTGCAATAAGGCCCCCCAAGGCCTTCTCTTCTCCAGGCTGAATAGCCCCAACTCCCTCAGGTGCTGTTTTTGGAGCAGAGCTGCTCCAGCTCTTTGATGATCTTCTTGGCTCTTCTCTGGACCCTTTCCAGTTAGTCACTAGGAAGTTGAAACATGCATTATTGATTGATCACTTCCACAGTTGCAAATGTGGAAACTTCCCTCATGGATCCCTGTTTGCTGATGCCCTATAAAAACATCAGTTCCAACTGGTAACACTCAATTGTACAGTTCTGCCCTCTCAAGAAAGAAACCTGCTGCAAGAGGCATTGTAATAGCTCCAGTCTGATCCCTGGAAAAGCCAGTGTTGATAACTCATTTAAATAAAGGAGGTAAAGAAAAGACTCTTGGGTCTTGTTTTTCATCCCAGTGAATAGTCAAGATTTGCCGCTCCTCCTTACAAAAGATTTAATTAATGATGTGATTTTATGAGCACCTAATAAAATCTCATGTCACATTTTCCATTATTTATCTCCTTTACAATGACATCCTTTCTGCTTTCAAACCTTTCAGAGAAAAGGATTCAAGTTCAAGGCCAAAAGGCCTGAAGAAACATCTGCTGATTTCTAGTGATGAATCATTGTTCTGGATCCATGCATGGAAGCAATGAGTAAATGGACAGTTTAGAAATGCAACCTATAAAAAATCAAGTGATTTTCTTCTCCACCTTATTACCAAGCCCAGAAGAAAATGGGTCTCAGATCAATTAACCTCAAAGCCTCAAGGCAAATGTCCTCTGAAACTGTTGCTCAGAGGTCCATCTATAGTTTAAGGCCATGACCATTTCAAAACCAGAGGTATTTTAATCTGACACAAATCCATGGTACTACTTCATTCTGAGAAAATTGCACAAAGCAACTCTAAGCTATGTTCAAAATCCTCCTGAGACAACAACAAAAAAAAAAAGAGTGCATGGTGGTCAAACATCTTACATTGGGACTGCCTAGAGGAAAAACTAATGGAATTATAAAGGAAGAGTGACTGTTATCCTTGTGGTTTTCATCACAGGCTCTATAACTTCCTTCACTGTCCCTTCCCCAGCCACACAAGACACAGATCAGTTCTGAGCATCCAGGCAGAACATAAGCCATTAGTTAGGATCAGTGAGACATCATGGTCCTGCAAAAACCAACACAAAAAGTTACATCAAAAGCCTTAATGTTTATTGTGTAGTGGCAAAACCTTCTTAAACTTCACAATGAGGGTGGTGGGACACTGGTACAGGTTGCCCAAAGAGATGGTAGAAACCCCATCTTTAGAAACATCCAAGGGCAGGTTGGATTGGGCCCTGAGCAACCTGCTCTAGTGTAAGGTGTCCCTGCTCATTGAAGTGGGGTTGGACTAGATGACCTTGAGAGGTTCCTCCCAACCCAAATCATTCTATAAATCTATGAAAAATTTTCCCTGAGATAGGAATAAAGTCTGTTCTTTGTGTAGCACTGCAGTGATAGCATGGAAAGAATCAATCAGACTAGTAGCACTGCAGTGATAGCATGGAAAGAATCAGACTAACTGGCCTAGGTTGGCCAGGGAAGCTGTGGCTGCCCCATCCCTGGCAGTGTTGAAGGGCAGGTTGGATGGGGCTTGGAGCAGCCTGGAATGGTGGGAGGTGTCCCTGCCCACACAGGAGGGTTGGATCTAGATCCAACCCAAACCATTCTATGATTGTATGAATTCCCACGACCTTTCAATTCCCACCACCTTCCAATTAAGTCCTCAGTTGGATTTGTGCAAATGCAAAACAGCCAAAACAGGAAAACTGATTCAGTAAGGGGATCAATTAAATTATTAAAATAACAACGGTAGAGAAAAATCACCCAGCTGGTGTCAGATCTTCAGTTGAGTTTAATAGGAATAAATCTTTTATGTCTTTCCTAAGCCTGTTTGAAGTAGAAGCAACTGTGAGAACAGAGAATGTCACAATGGCATTTTTAGTGCCACCTTTAAAACTGGACCCTAAAGCTCTAACTCCTGCAGGTACATTGCAGGTTGAAGTTCACAGAATGGAACTAGACGGTCTTTAAAGTACGTTCCAACCCAAACACTTCTACACTTCTATGTTTTCACCTCCACAGAAGTACTTGAATAAACAGAATTAGGAGCAGTAACTGGACTTGACCTTAGAAGTCACCACATTCTTGGGGTCTAGAAGCCACATTTTCCTTTTGGAGCTGAGAAGTATGCTCCAAAGTTCTGAGCATCTGTTCAGCATAAAATTTACATATGCCATCAATAACAATATTAATTGACACCACTTCAACATCAGTTTGTCAGATTTCTAGAAAGTATTCCCAGGAAAAGGTGCTCTTGGGTTTGCTATGAACTGGGAGAGCACATTTCACAGTTCCAGGAAGAACTTGGCAATGCAGGAACCTTCATAAACACTCTTCAGAGTACAGAAGGTTCAAGCAGTGAAATATAATTTGAAAGTGAATTTATTTCTCTGAACTGGCAAGAAGGGAAAACGTTCCTGGTGAACTGCCTTATCTACAGTCCCCAGGTGAACATTACTGAAGGTTTTGTTTATTTTAAGCGCAGCAGGAACAGCTTTAATTCCCTTATAAAGGTTCTACAGGACAAGGTAACATCTCCTTTGGGAAGAGAATGCAGAAAGGACTCAAAACTTTGGCATCTTTGAGATGGGTTGGATGAGTCAGTGCTTTATGATGACATGCATTAATATGCACAACCACTTTGTTTCATCAATAAAAAGCCAAAGAGCTTAAATGAATAAAGGCAAAATATGCACAGCCAGAAGTGTTGAAGTCTCTGGTAGCTCTGCAGTCCTGGAAAAGGCTACTTTGAAATAAAATTAGGTGGAAAAAATATACATAAGTACATTGTGTACTTGAAGCAAAACCATATGCATACTTTATGCTGATCAAATGTTTTCTATTATAACCTGCATCTGAGAGACACTTGCCCAGCAGTTGATTGAATGATGCAGAGTTAAATGAAGCCAGGTAAGATAGTCCCTGATACCTTGGGCTTGAAGAGCAAGAACAAGACCTGTAGAAGTGAGAATTCTTAAGGCAGATTTTAAGGCAAGGGAAAAGAACAGCAAGTCTTAAGGTTGGTTTTTGCTCCCCCCTCTCCCCAAATTTTCACATGGTTGTTTTTTTCCAGGTTTCCACAACCAAGCTGCAGTTTCCAGCCCTGAAAATTCACACTGGCATGTCCCAAATGACTCCTGACAAAACTCCACTGTGCAGAAAAACAGTCTCAGGCTCTGGGACCACTCAACCCTAAAGATACAGGGCTAAATAACAAGAGCAAGAAAGGGAAGAAAGATCCAACAGAAGAGTCCAGGAGGTAAACATGACAAGACAAACCAGAAACAGACACAAATAAGGACAAGAGAATTAATAGGGATGCAAAGAAAAGGAAAGTTTCTCTGCATTAGAAAACGACACTATTTTTAAAATGGGGGGAAGAGATGTAGGTCACTTCTGTATTACTCATTTGTTCAACAAGGACAACCCCACTTAGTAATCTACTGAAACAACTGTAGAATTAATTCCCCATCTGTGCAGCACTTTCAAGGCCTCATACAAAATGAAACAGTTTTGCTCAGTGTTTGTTCTAGTAACAAGTACATAAATGTCATCACTAGATTATTCCTATTTATAGTCAGACCTTCAGTCCAAGTGACAAAGTTCCCACAAGGAAAAGCTTTGACCTTTTGGCTCCAACACAGCAAAAAGCTTCAGCAACATCTCCACATACCTACCTGCCTACATTTAAATAATGCAGCAGACCTCTAAGAAAACTGAACTGACTGCAAGTATCTTTTCTGCCCAAGATACCAACATGATCAAGATAAGAACATGCACAGAAAGCCAAGTGTATTTAATTGAAGTTGATGATGGGAGAGGAAGGGGCAAGGATGATTTGCCCAAAAAGAAATGCAGACAGGGCCAATTGTCCCCTGAACACATCACTCATTTCATGACATTGCATCAATCACTTCACTTCTTGTCTCAGGATCTCCCATCAGCAGCCATCCATAAGGAGGGGATGATATTCCTGCTATTAGTCCTAGACAATCAGTTGACGATCTACAAGTTATTTTTGAGAGAAATGAATGTGACTTAAATACTCACTGCTGGCACTTCCAGGAGTACCAAACTGGGAAGTTTCAAGGAACTTTCGAGGTGTAGACAAGTTAGTAACATCCATCAGAGGCACAGGAGAGGCATCTTTCACATATGAGCTGTGTGAGGGGAAAGAATTAAAGCAGCAGTTTACTATTATTTGCAATCTTACTTCACAAGAAATAATTTCTTGATTAAATTTGTAAGTCTAGGCAACAGATACACTTAAGTTTTGATACAAGAATTTTACAAAAAAGTCCAGAGATGAACACGATTGGGTGTGCTTATATGCACTCAAGTGAAATGGAAAAAGCCAACAAAAGAAATTATGAGAGGACACTGTCATACTAAACACAGTATTTGGTACCCCAAGGCTTCTCTGAATTGCACAGCTACTTGTTGGACTGGTCACAGCAACATGATCAGGACACAGGCACAACAGGAGCCTGCACATGTTTATTGCCCAGACACATTCACCTCTAGCACAAATAGCTACTGATAACATGATAATTTAACATGGAACCGTTAAGATCTTTCTGGAGAACTACACATTGAGGACAAGAAGTGCTCCCGTTTCCATGGCTCTTGTCAGCTACTCAACCACTGAAGCTTTACTAGCTCCCATTAAAAATCTCCACACTCCTCCCCTTCAAACTCCTGTTCTGCATACACCTACATGCATCCCTCTCCTTCCTCAGAAAGGAAGGATTTTCTACTCGGTCATTTATATACTAAATTCACACGGTATTTGCCAGGAGTGTGTCCTGCTGCCGGAGCTGCACTATGAAAGGCATGAAGCTGGATGTGGCAGGGCAACACAGAAGTCATTTTTAAGAGAAAAAAAAAGAAGCAGGCTCCTGTATGGAGCTCAGTATGTGTCATTAGGGTCAAAATGCTTAAAGAAACCTCAAATACAAGGGCTGAGCTTACATCCATCAGAAGAACCCCCTTCACTCCCTACACATCTACAAGAGCACACCTAAAGGGATCAGCTGTGCATTCCAGCTTAGCAAGGTCACATAGGACACTTAAAACCAATACAACTAATTATAAACATTATTACAACCTGTTCAAGAGCCAGTCTAGGGCAGCACACTAAAACAAAGCAACCAAACTGCCCATGATGCAACAGTTCATGTTATTAAATATCAGTGATGTGCAACACAGAATCTGAAAAGAGATAAGGGTCCCTGTAGTAGTGATACCAAACTGCAATTAATTAACAGTAGCATAGTCTGGGTATACCAAAGCTTTGTGTCTGGTTTTAATTAACAAGATGAGTAAGGAACAGACTGATGACTTGCTAGCAACCCTCCTTCCTAGAAACTTCAGCTTCAATCTATCCCTTCTTTCATAAATTCATGTAATTTAACTTACTATCCCTCCTCTCATTTCTGGTATGCATTTTCTATTCCTTCTCATAATAAAATACTAATTTATCTGTTCTCTGTAATCTTTATCATATGCTGGCTCCTCTCCTCTATTACCTCTCCTACTCTGCAAAAGTTATCTTCCAATACTGTCTCTCTTCTCCAGCTATTATTTTCCTTCCTTCCCTTCTAACTCCATTACCCTCAAACTTAGAATTCAGAAAATTAGGAAAAAATAGCCAGGCACCTACACTTCAACTGAGTTTCCACTGATCAGAGGCACCCATGAATTAAGAAGTTGTAACATCTTGAAAAAGCACCTTGGAAACACAGCTGAAACACCACTCAGGCACTTCAATCTTGTGGCCTCCAGGTACTAACCTTGTGGTTAGCTGGATGTCTTGTAAACCTTGGACATTTGCTAGAAAAGATGAGCTATTTTTCCCTGTGTTTTTTTCTGTTTGCCTGATCTGTGTCTCATGATCATGACGTTTGCAGGAAAGGAACACGCATCAGATAATAAAAGAATGCTATTTGATGGGGTGCATCAAAAGAAGTGTGGCCAGCAGGTCCAGGGAGGATATTCTGCCACTCTACTCTGCTCTGGTGAGACCCCACCTTGATAAATGTGTCCAGCTCTGGAGCCATCAGCACAGGAAAGACCTGGAGCTGTTGGAGCAGGTCCAGAAAAGGGCCACAAAGATGATCAGAGGGCTGGAGCAGCTCTGCTATGAGGACAGGTTGAGACAGTTGGGGTGTTCAGCCTGGAGAAGAGAAGCCTCCAGGGAGACCTTAAAGCAGCTTCCAGTGCCTGAAGGGGCTCCAGCAAAACTGGGGAGGGGCTTTTCACCAGAGAGGGCAGGGACAGGACAAGGGGGAATGGTTTTAAATTGAAAGAGGAGAGATCTAGGTCAGATATCAGAAAGAAATTCTTCACCATGAGGGTAGGAAGATGCTGGAACAGGTTGCCCAGAGAAGCTGTGCCTGCCCCATCCCTGGAGATGTTCAAGGGCAGGTTAGATGACTCTTGTGCAGCCTGGTCTGGTGGGAGGTGTCCCTGCTCATAGCAGGGGGGTTGGAACCTGATGATCTTGAAGGTTCCTTCTAACCTCAGCCACTCTATGATTCTATGGATTGACATCATAATTTGGTGGGAAGCAGCAAACCCCCAACAGAATCACTAAGCCAAAGTGAAAGAACAAGAACAGACTGTTCACAAGCTTGAAGGTACATCAACATATTCAGAGGTTTACTGCTCTCCACAGCCATAAGCATGAGAAATTTGCTTGCCAAAAATGAAAAGTTGAGGTGTTAAGTTGATAGCACTCCCAGGAAAATTTCTACTTATGAAAGGGAGAATGTTGTCCTCTTTCTCCCAGACCTGCTGCCCTCAGCATCACAGAAAACCCACCTTACTCTCCCTTTCTCCTTGTTGTGTTGTCCTACTCGGTTAGTAGATCTGATGTAAAGGTGACGGTGCAATTCATCTATGAGGACTAAGTGCATGTTCATCTTCTTGCTGTGGAGCTCCAGCCTCAAATCACTCAGTCCCTCCACCTGAAGTAGGGGGCCCTCCAAGGATTCCACTGCTGACACCTGAAAGGAGAACACATGTGAATGAATTGACCTGTAGAAGTTGTCATCTGTCAGGGCTTCTCTCTTTCATGAGGGGAACATCTCAGCACCATGATGATCCTATCCATAAAGCCCCCTTTTAAAGCAGAAAACATCAAATCAGTATTTCTGTATTTCCATTCCTAAAAACCTTAAATATCTAAAAAAGGTCCAATACCTGAACAACTCAGATTTCATGAGTAGTCTTCACATTTTTTGAGCATATGTATAAAACAAGTTAGTGAAAACAGCTGGTTAAATAAAAATCAAATCAGAATTCACCCCAAATAACACAATTATCAACTAGAAGAAACTTTAAAAAAGATACTGACAATATTTGATTGCCTTTATTCTTGTCACTACAGAAACACCAACAAAATATTAATCCCAGTTCTATAAACAGGGAGAAAATGGCTTAAATTGTGTTGCCCTAAGGTGATGTCATGACATGGCTGAAAAAGCTTAGGAGGCCTCATCTTACAGCTTGCATGGCTGCTATACCATAGCTAAACAATCTAAAGTCATTAATTAGACTCATGAAAGCTATTGCTGGTACTAAGGTGATTTTGACTTCTACCAAGTGTGGGGTTTTATGATGTTTGATTGTTAAGGCTGAAATTAAGGAAAATACTTAATACAAGCAACAGAGTATCAGACAGGGTTCTATACATGCAGTAACAAACAGGCCATAGGTGAACATTTCTCCTCTGATGCACTTCAATAGTGACCAGCTGCCATCCCATGGGCACTAGACTGAGGAACCAGTCTGTCCACTTATATCCTAAAACCAGAGAATCACAGAAGGGTTTGGGTTGGAAGAGACCTCAAAGATCATCTCGATCCAACTCCTCTGCCATGGGCAGAGACACTTCCCACCATTCCAGGCTGCTCCAAGCCCCATCCAACCTGCCCTTCAACATTGCCAGGGATGGGGCAGCCACAGCTTCTCTGGGCAACCTGGGCCAGGGTCTCCCCACCCTCACAGGAAAATATTTCTTCTTAATCTAATTCTCCTCTCAGCTTAAAACTGTTCCCACTAATCCTGTCACTCCTGCCCTTGTCCAAAGTCCCTCTCCAGCTTTCCTGGAGCCCCCTCAGGCACTGGAAGCTGCTCCAAGGTCTCCCTGGAGCCTTCTCTTCTCCAGGTTGAACACCCCAACTTTCCCAGCCTGTCCCTAAAGCAGAGCTGCTCAAGCCCCCCCTTCACCTTTGTAGCCTCTTCTGGACTCGCCCAAATAGCTCCATGTTCTCCTCGTGTTGAGGGCCCCAGAACTAGACACGGTGCCCCAGGCAGGGTCCACAAGAACAGAGCAGAAGGGAAGAATCCCTTCCCTTGGCTTGATGGCCACATTCCTTTTGATGCAGCCCAGGACATGGTCGGTTTCTGGGCTCCAGCACACTGTGCTGGCTCACATGAAGCTTCTCATCTACCACCACCTTTTCAACCCATTCTCCATCCAACCTGTGTTTGTGCCTGGGACTGCCCCAACACAGGTGCTGAACCTTGCACTTAGCCTTGCTGAACTTCAGGCAAACATGGACAAAAAACCAAAACAAAACACAGACAAAAGCCACCATGAATGACAAATCAGTGCATGAAAGCAACACCAAACTGCACCTCTCCTGGTTTACTTATTTTTATTTTTACTTATTTTACTTATTTACTTTTTATTTTTATGCCTATTTAACACAGCACTTCCACAGTTACTCAAAAAAAAGAAACTAACCACCAAAGGCTAAAGAATCCCTCTGCAGTTCCCAAAATCTCACTGCTGCTGTTATAAGCAACCAGTAGCAGAGCATGTTTTGCACAGAGTGAAGCACAGATTTCACATTTGAGGGAAAAAATATTTCCTAATAATTGAAGATACTGTTAGTGAAATAAGACATCTGCTTGCACTTCAGGATTTCAGTTAACAGCAAACCTGTCAGCTAAGCATTAAAAATGAAAAGCAAAGAGATACAGCAAGCAGACAGGCAAGCTAAGGTCTGGTCCCTTAATACCAGTAAACATTAAATATACCAAAACAATATCTATCAAGTATTACTTTGCTTGTCTACAAGTCAGGAACAACCCTAAAATACCTTCAGGGCAGTCAGGTCTTTAAAATTAAGAGCAGTTTAAGTAGAAGGTGCACTTTTTCCTTCTTCCTAAAAAACTCTGACAAGTTCCTAATTATCAAATTCTTTTCTCTGCATGGATGATGAGAGAGCACACACACTGCCTGACACTGCCTGTCTTTAGGATAGAGCTCAGTCTTGAGAAAGAATCTGTGATACAGTATTTAGCACCCAGGACAGAACAGGCTCCTCCTAAGCCCAACACCACTCCAACAGCATTTACAGGGCTCTTATCACTTGACGTAAAGCACTATCCAACCCTTCTCTTCCCAGTACCTCTTCATGATCTGTTATGCAAGCCTGGCCACAACACATCACAAAAACCACACCACAGATGAAGAAAACAACAGATTTCCTGCTACCCAAAAAAGCTGGCAGGGCAGAATACATGCAAATAGAGCAGGCTCAGCAGGCATGCAGACACAGCTTGGAAACCTTTGGCAGAAGTTAAAGTGCTAATTTTTATCTTCTTCCTTTGGCAGGTAGAGACATACCCTAAATTTCCCAATTCCAAAGGCACTTGAACCCCCCCCCGTCACTCCAGGATAGTTGCAGGCATTCATCCCTGCCCCAAAAGCTGTCAGCAATTTCACCAAAGCAAGAACAAGATCAGGAACAACATTTGTCAAACTGAGAAGCTGAGAGATGAAAATGTAGTGAAAGAAGAACTGAAAGCAAGCAGGAAAATGACATTAAGAAGGTTCCAAGACATTTAGGAACAGTATTATCTAAAACACAAGCAACAACATTTTAAAGCTTCCTACTCAGATAACTGGGCTCTATGTTTATCTTCCAAATTCCTAAAGAGTTGATTATTCTGAAAATTAATTATTAAGACTAACATACAGCTCTCAAATACATCTTTTAAGGAACAAATGGAACAGTCCATGAATTGTACTTAAAAAACCTAAAACTTCTATGTCCTTATGCACTAAACTTTCTTCTTCTGGAAAAAGCTGCCTTTTTTACTCTTGGGATTTTGTCAGGTGATTTTTTTGGTGGCCTTTCTAACACTTCATATTTGCAGTCAGACAAGCTGCAAGTTTGTCCTTGATAAATGCCACTTTCCCAGTAGTTGAACTCCACAGGTAAATAACACAGGCAAGTTGCAATGTTATGCACTCTCCAAGCCTTTTAACTTAAGGCAGCCCCACTCCAGTTGAGCCTTACTCAACCACTCATTTCTTTTCCAACATTTTTTTTCCCATTACCACCTATTATCAAGACAAAGCACAAGAGAAAATCTTTTATCTTCAGAACAGCTTGGGAAGTAACAAGGGGTTCAATCCAAGTTCATGGAAGTCAGGGTAAGGTCTCCAACTGGTTTAGGTGGCAACAAGTATAAATACATAAAAAGAAGAATGCAAACATTTTTCCCTTCTGTAATTTCACTTACAGAAAGATTACGTCCTAGCAACAAGCAAGAGAGAAAGCAGCACACCCCAGATAAAATTTGAAAATGCAAAATATGAGATTAAAACTTGTCTAATGTGTGTGCTGGGTAACTGACCACAGAAGGACAACACAAGCAGCTAAAATGACACCCAGTCTCCAAAGAACACACAAAATCAAATACTACAGATGTATCTAACAATGGAACTTTTAGGATAAAAATCTTGACAAGGTTGTGTTGAATCCTACTATCCTGGGAAAGACTAGTTCTTTAAAGTAATTTTCAGCAAATAACCATGCTGTCATCCCAATGGCTTGGCTCTCCAGAAGCAGGGAGATGGAGAGTTACAAAGAGGGATGAAAAAAGAAACAGAAAATTAATATTAAGAGCAGAAAAAATGACACCTCTGTGGACTAATTGTAAACAAGCACAAGTAATTTACCACTAGCTTTAAAGTCCAAGCATCCATCTGGGCCATGTGAACAAGGTGGTCAAGTCTCCTGAGAAACAGTAAAGGGTACAAAGGGACTTGGGAAATCCCCACAGTGGGTCAGCAGAGAGCACAGCCAAAGAAAATAAGGTGAGCACAGACAACAAGACCAGCAATAAATCAGACTTATTAAACTGAATTCATAACAAGGACTATGTTTAGCATTGATAAAGCTCACATCAAGACAAGAATTTTAAGCCCACACTCCACTAGTAACTGTATCATGCAAGGGACCCAAATATATGATTAAAATATTTTCAACTTTCAAGATCATAGACATGAATTTACTGTTATCATCAACTCACTCAACTTGTGTGTATCATTTCAACTAGTTGTTCTTCACCTTTTCTCATTCCAAACCCTGATAGGCAAAAAGAGCTGGGTGAGTGGGAAACAAGCCACACAGAGAAGTAACAGGTCAGAGTAGAACAAATACTGCTCTGCAAAAAAACCCCCACAAAAACACTGCAGTTCCTCAAGTTAGCAGTGATCCCTCCAGTTGAAGGGCCTTAATTCAGGAGAAAACCTCTTATTTTTGGATTTCTACAAATCCAAACACAAAGAAGAAATCAAGGAAAAGGTGCAACCTAGAAAGAAATCTAAATGTTGGGGGTTGAATATATTTGTACTGCTACCATGAATCCTAAAACAATACAAAGCTTTTTGCATTCTAAATGGCAACTGTCTCCCTCCCTCTTTAAAAAAAAAGAAAGGGATTTTATACTTAAATGGTGCCTATTATTTTCCCATTCATTTATTGCAAAATTATCTGGAGTCCTCAGACAGAAACCCTTCATTTCTAATTATTTGTATCACTTATTAGGATTTTAATTTTACTTCTTCATATTAATTTTACCTCTTTGAACAATTAAGAATAGAAAAACCTTTCAGGCTGCAATATTTCCACATTGGTTTTAATACTTTGAGCACATTATAGCAAGTTTTGGGCTGTTTTTCTTTCAATTCATCAGCAGTACT